TGCAGCCCACGCCGTCGCCGGCGACTCATGGCAGCTCCAGGTTGAGCCGCCGTTCAGCATCTTAGCTGCGGAGGGCAGTGTCACTGGCCCTCACATGTGGGATCCGAACCGGGGCCCTCCGGCATCCCAAGCGAGCTCCCAACCATCGCGCCACTCGGCCGGCCCCTGACTCACGCTCTTAATGAGTGGATGTGAGCTCCAGAATAAGGGGAAGGACACCAGGGGTGCCAGGGTACACCCTGCCTTGTACAGAGAGGGGAGAGGCACAGAGCAGATCTTCACCCCTTCCAGCTCAGGGTGGAGAACCCGCACCAACGGGAACCGAAGAGGATGTATTCTGCTTTGTTCCAATGGCAGGAGGAGCATGGATTTAGCCACCTGAGAACCCAGGAAGGAGGGATTGCTCAGAATGTGGAAGCAGAAGTAGAGAGACTAGGGTCCCACAGTAGGGAAATCAGTCCTGTTGTGGGGTCCGATCTTAACCTTCTCTAAAGGCGCCAAGTGACAAGCTGGAGCACTGGCTCATTATCTTGGGGCGTGGGGGGTAGACAGAGAAGCAAAAACAGGCAGAAGTGAAAGGAGCAGACATTGGGGGCGACAAGAAGAAACGACAGTCAGTTCTGGCAGAGGGGCCCCTGTGTTTCTCTTCCTAAGGATCAGGCAGATCTGGATTCAAAACTGCTTCTTATTAGCTGGGTGACTGGGTGTTTTACTTAATCTCCCTGAGCTTTTTTTCTTTCTCTGTAAAATAGGGAATGATATGTCTGCTCACAGGGTTGTGGTGGTGAATAAATGAAATTCCACTGTAAAACACTGGACACACAACAGGGATCCTATAAAGGTTGGGCCCCACGGGGTGGGCAATGATAAGTGTGGTGAACTTCAGTAGCAGGAATATAGTCAGACAGCAAAAAGGACTTCCAAACATTAACAGCCTAGGCAAGATGTCCTAGTATACAAACAAGAGGCTCCTATCCGGTTGGCATGTGGTGGGGGAAGAGGGGTGGATCTAGTCACCCAGGAGGGTAAGAGAGAGCCCTGCCCATGAGAAAATTAGCAGAAAACCCCGGGGAGAGGGTTTTAGCGGTGGGAAAATGTGGCCTTTTTGGCAGAGAATGAAGGTAGGAGCTTAACGGGTTTCCTTGTGGAAACATTTTGAGGATAGAGGGAAAGTCCACTGGGGTCTCCATCCCATAAAGTGGGCTTGTAAAGGCAGCCTATAAAGGCGGCCTGTTATGGCAGCTGGTGGGAAGGAGGAGGGGAGGAGGGAAGGGGAGGAGAACAGAGGGAGGAAATGGGGGGGAGGATTCCTGCCACATCTCTGAGCTTGCCTCCCCTCTCCTCCCCTGGAGATGCCAGAACCTCCCTCTCCCAGGTCCCTCTACCCCACTTCTCGGTGAGTGGTGTCCCATCCTGAGAGACTTAGGATCCAGGAAGCAGAGGCCCTGGGCTGGAGTTGAGGAAATAGGAGAGGCAAACTTGGTAGATCCCAGCATAGCCGATGGTTAGCCCACTCTTCCCTGAGATGGAAACCCTGTTAGGCCAGGGCCAGGGCCAGTGGCCAGATGGCAAAGGGCATTACAGGATGTCCAGTCACCCCACCCAGTTGCAGGCATCCCTCTGTTGGCCGATGGAGTTATAGGATCCACAAGCACAGAGATAGGAAACCAGTGTGTTTGGGGACACCAATGAGTTGAGGTTGCCTGAAGGATGGATAGGTGCCCATGTGTTGATGGTGGTGGTGAGGAGGCATCCAGAGGTAAGACGAGGCTGGCAGATGGGTTCAGAGTGCCCCGTCCCTATGCCATCATTCCCCACATGATTACAGAATAATCTGAGTATGGTTCCCACAAGCCCTCCAGATGGGCGTAGAATGCCAGGCAGAAGGCAGGATCTGACTGTTGGCAGTGAGGAAAGGTTTCTGGGCAGGGTCAGGAAAAGGGGACGGAGCCCATGGCCTGAAGACAGCAACTGATATCCCCAAGGATATCCCAGGGAGGAATGACCGGTGCCCCTCCCCCACCTGACATCACCCCACAGTAAGGACATCCTTATAGAGCTCCAGCCCTCATCCGTGCTGCCTCCTGAGAGGTCTGTTTCTTTGCTCACAACTAAAGAACAGTTGGCCTGCGGGGAGGGGTAGCCACACCCTTCCAGGATCCCCCAAGGTCAGTCTCCAGGGCAGCCAGGATTTGATCCTCCTCCCCTCCCCGCAAACACACCGAGGGTAAGTGGCAGCCATTGATTTTGCAGTGCAGATGATATTTTTAGCTGGTCTTAGCATTAGCTACTCCTCCCACCTGGCCACACTCTTCTACCAGGCCTCTCTGCTTAGGGGCTGGGAAGGGGCTCCCCTGGGGATCCCTGATCAGATCCCCTTCCTCCCTCATCCATTCTCAGCTTCCCCTCTCTGCCTCCTATCCTGGGTCAGACCCACTTCTGGTGCCCATACAGTGGTGGGCAGGACACCCTGCCAGGAGGCAGAGTACTTGTAAGGCCTCTACTGGGCATGCTTCTCTCCAGTCCTGCCCCCCGCCTCCCCGTTCCTCCCTTCCATTCCTCTCTCCCCTCCCCACCTGCCACCCTATACTCACTGTCCAGGCAGGGCTCACACACAGTCTGGTTGGCTCCGCAAGGCTGGGCCACACCCTCGCCCAAGTTGCAGGCTTTGCAGCACTCACCACTGTCGGTGTACAGGCCTGTGGGGCATGCCTCCTTGGCACCTCCAAGTGACACCTGGGTGGAGGGAGATCAGAAGGTCAGTCTGGCAAAAGAAAGGAGAGGGGAGTCTTCCAAGGGTTCAAACACCCCCTCCTAAAGCCTTCTATTGGAAACACCTGGGCCCAGATGAGCTCACCAGGGAGGCATTAGACACATCAAAGCTGGCAGGAAGAAAGGCAGTGGGGGACAGTGCACCCCCGCAGGCTATTGGAAGTGTGAGGTCACAGCCTCCCATGCTGATCCTCTGCAAAGTTCATTTTGGGCTTACAGCAACTCCTGTAATCTCAATGATACACCACATGGGGAAGGTAGCCTGAGGCCCAGAGGGCCTTTGGGCAAGGACATCATGAACAGCTGGACAGGTTGCAGCTCGCACAGGGCTCCCAGCCAAGGGGGCAACTGGAAGCTGAAATCTAGTGCAAATGCCACTTGCTGAGCTGCACACCTGCAGGGCTGCACCTACCCAGAGGGGAGTCTTTTTCTAACAAAGGCTAGCAGGGCCCTATTCCAGGTCCTTACTTCTATCATTCCACATATTAAATACCAAATGGGAGGAGTCTATGCCCAAGAAAGAAGGCAGAGGGGTGGGATCTTGGGTTCAAACCTGACTCTGCACTAGGAGCTCTGACCCACCTTGCTCTCCCTCCCTGAGTCTTCATCTCTCTGCACAGATAGAGAAGATTTGCTCAGGGCAGAGCAAAGACCAGCCAATCGGCAAGAGTCTGGTACCAAGATGTGAGAAAGGGTCGCCTGTTATCAATGATGAGAAAGTGGCTGCTCTCACCATCCAGCAGCCCTGCTCCACCAGGGTTTGATTTCCAGTCATCAGCCGCCCCCTCGCCTGCCCCCCATGCAGTCAGTGGGAATGGCGCTGGAACCAGGGGAAAGGGGAGTCAGATTCCTGCCGCCAAGGCATCTTTGCTCATGGATGGAACGATTTAGCACCAGATTCCCTAGAGGGAGGGGCTGCTGGCAGCTTGCTTTATATTTCTGTTCCTTAAAAAAAACTTCATGTCTAATAAAACTCCCAAGACTGTTTCTCTGGCCCCAGACCATGCAGTTCCCATTTGATGCCAAGAGGAAGTATGGGCTCTCGGGTCATGGGAGCAGAGGGAAGTTTTAATGGTCATTTTGGACATTCCTCTGCTTCCACATTGACCAGATCGCGGTCAACGACTCTCCCTTCCCTCCGGTCCTTTAAGATATCCTGAGGTCTCGCCAGGGTTCGGTGGAGGCAGGGGGGATGGACAGATTGGCTCAGTCTAGGAGGCTGCCTATGGTCCTCAGGGGACCAGCAGGGAAGGTGTAGGTAGCACAGGAAGGGGACCTTGGGTGTCACGACCATCTCCTCCCAGGTGGCAGGAACACAATGCTGGGAACATCTGCAAACCAGAAGCTTTGGCGTTTCGGCGGGTGGGGGGGTTGGGGTGAGGGAGTGGGGAGTCCCAGATACAGGAGTTCCCCCAGGAGGCTAGCTGGATTCCAGAAGGGTCTGTTCAGATTCCTTTTCATCCTTTAGGGCTCTGCTTAAATATCACTTCCTCAAGGAAATGGGCCTGTGTCCCCCTCCATTCCCAGATCAGGCGGAGCTGCCCTGTTCCATGCTCTCCCTATGGACTGTTCTTGTCTGCTCTGATACTTTACTGAGTCCCCCACTGGACTCTCAGCTCCCTGAGGGCGGGACTGTGGTTGCCCCAGCACCTGACACAGTACCTGGCACATAGTAGGGACCCAACGTATGTGCTTATGGAATTTAAGAATATGAAGATATGATCTGACCTCAATTAACAAACTCCGGGAATGACTTCTGGATAGTTGAGTTTCCCGAAAGTCAAGGCTCTGCAGCTATAATCACCTAATGTTTTTCATTTTAACCATGGTGGCTGCACCCTTCTCTGACTCTGGAACATATCTTCATGGTTTCCTCATGACTCAGAGACTCAGTATTTACACCAGCGATTATTCTGAGCTGCAATTCAGTGAAGCCCTTGTGTTCTTTATGCCAAATTCCTCACTTCTGTCTCTGACTTCTCCTGTCAACTTTTTTAAATACTTTTTCAGCCTCCTCCCTTCTTGTCAAGATAAGAGTTGTCAATTCTTGCTGCTACCAGTGCGACCTCAGCGGCCTCTCCATTCTAATTTATTAGGTCTAATTGAATCTTTAGAAACTATGTAACTAGTCTTAGTAGGAAGGTGTATAAAATGAGTGTAAGTAGTATCTGAACCAGGAGGGGGCAACTCTCTGAGTAAAAAGTGTGAGCTACATTTCCTTCATCCTCGGGGGGCCTCCATGGCTTTGAATCCTAGCTCATCGCTTAGTGCTAGGTAATCTGGGTTTTGAACTTCTCTGTGTCTCAGTGTCTTTCTTCATCATTAGGTCATCATGACCGTACCTGCCTCATAGAGTTGCTGTAAGCATTAAATGCATGAGCAAGGTGTTCATACACATTGGGAGTCTTTTTTTCTCTTTTCCAAGGTCTTTCTTGCTTCCTTTGTGGCTTTTGTCTGTATCCCGGTTACTTGAGGTAAGTAGAGACCTGAGCTCCAGATAGTTGAGGTCTGTCTATGGTAGTCATGGGTGGAGTGACAGCCTTGTGCAAGCCCCTCTTTTTCAAAGCCTGCTCTCTCCGCTGCAGCCTGTGGTCCTCTGGTTTCTTCCAAGTCTTGCATTTGGAGTCCAGGCCACGTAATTAGTGACCATGTGTTTCCTGTGCTTGTTTATGTTTCCTATTTCAAAACATCGTAGGTTTGCTACTTAATAGTATGTTACTTAAGTAAATTCTCAGTCTCTCTGAGCCTCAGTTTTGCCCCCTAAAACATTGGGTTGGTAGTATCTACTGCTCAGGGTTGCTGTGAAAATTAAATGAAATAGTTTATGCAAATCTGTCTGGTGTATAGTAGGAGTTCAATAAATGTTAAGTATCAAACAAGTATCTTGTCTCAAGAGAGAGTGAGCTGCTGAGCATGGGTGGGAGGTAGTGGGAGGGGAGAGTTTAGCCATCCCACAAAAGAGGAAACCATCTAAAGAGACAAGGGGCAGGATAGATATGAGGAAAGACTTAACCACCAGGGAGTCCGAGGAGGGCATGGAGACCAAAGGAGGATGGGTAATTGCTCTACTTAAAGTTAACAAATTCAAGAATTATTTAGTGAGCATTGAAACAAACTGAGCATTGTTTCTAATGAGACATGGTCCCTGACCTCTACGGGGAGTCCCAGTCCCATAAGTGAGAGGAAATGTCACTCCAAACAGTTACTCCAGAAGCCAAGATGATGAGGGAGAAAAACTTGAGGAATTGCCCTCATCCCCTGACAGCTGGGGAAACTGAGGCCCACAGAGGTCGTTCTGCTAAGTGGCCTGATGCATGGTCCCTGCCACACCCTCTATGGGATTAAGTGGGGGCAATCTTGGGAAGCCTAGCAAAATGACCAGGATCCAGGCTAATTGCTCCAAAATGATCAATTTACCAAAATGATAGATGCAGTTGACTGACATTTACATGTATTACACTTACTCATTTCCAGTTTGATGGAATAATTTCACCCCATTTTTGTGAATGTTTGTAATCTTTTTATTTTTGCCATTTCAAGGCTTTCAAAAAACTAAGGTGGAAGTACCTGTAAATGAATTGACTTAAGAATCTTTAAAAAAAATTTTTTTAATTGGGCAAAATAGAAAACATACCCAAATAGTAGCAAGAATTTAAAATTATTTGAATGCTTTAGTGTGATGAATCCTAGCCATGCACAACAGCTTCAGCAAAAGGCTCCTTAGGTGAATGAAGCCATTAACGACCACCATTGGGTTGGAGAGTTTTCCAATATGTGGGGGGTGTTTTGAGGTCGATGTAAACCCAGGGGAGGCACATGCCCTCCACCCCTTTAGGTAGAGGTTGAGTTTGGGATAGGAGACATGAGGTAATTATTGAGGATGATGCTAGATGAAGACTTTGAGAGGGAGACAGGGACTCTGCGTGGGGCGGGGAGGGGGGGAGGGGCTCGGTTCCAAATTTGTGGTGCCAAGGGCATAGAACACTGATCTAATCTCCAGGGCTACTGGTGGTTCAGGGCCACATGTCCCTCCGTGATCTAGAAGGGGGTGGAGTGGTGGCTGCATACGGAGATGGGGTAAGCTCCAAGCCAAGCATCCTAGGTTCCCAGGGCACCACCACTTACTAAATGGAGGAGCCTGGTTTCGCGCCTGCAAGTTTGGGAGGTTCAGCTCCTTCAATTGTAAAATGTGAATAACTAGATTTTCTCTGCTGGGACCTTATAAGGACTAAATAACGCAAGAGAAATTACCCAGGGCAGTGCGTGGCACATAGTAGGCACTCAACTAATTTTACTATTCCGCTTCCCCACCCGGTACCCCCAAGGAAGAATCTAGGCGCGTGAGTGGGACTGGGCTGGTACAACCGGGTGGAGACCCCTGCGCTCCCGAAGCCGTCTCCCCCGCCCGGCCGCTCGCGTCCTCCCATTTGCTGCCCTAGCTGCATCCCTATTAGGCGCATTAGCCAGCCCCGCGGCTCCGGTTACAGACGTCTGAATGACAAAGTGCCTCCATTACCGGCGCGGCCCGCCAGCCGACCCGCCGGGACGCGCTCTGGTTTCAGCACTCTCTCGCCGCGGCCCAGGAAGAACTCGAAGCGCCGCGATGCGCAGAGCCAGCCGGTACAGAGCAGCGGCGAGGCGGAGGCGAGGGCCGCAGGGGCTGCAGACTGCAGACTGCAGATTCCGCGCGGGGTCCACCTTCCCCAGCCCTTCCACGCCCAGCTCCCCTCCTTCCTCGCCTCTTCTCCACTCTGGGAACACTCTCTCCAACCCGGGTCCGGAACCCACTCCCTCGCCCCTCCGGGATCCGCACTACTGACGGCCCCAGTCCCACTGCCCCGCCCCCACCCCGGCCCAGAAGCATCTTTACCCCGCGGCGTTAGTCAGCAGACGTGCCCGCAATCACTCCCAAATCCCCCCGCGAAGCCACAGGTACCGACAGCTCCAGGGAACCTGGGCTGAGTTTCGGAAAGGGGGCCAGCGCCCGAGGAGGGTCTCTGCCCACCCGGCTCCCATATTCCACCAATGGCCTGACTCTCGGGATGGTGTCAAGCCCACCCCACCGACAAACGCGGCTCTTATTCCGACCTGGAACACAGGCTGCCCCCGTAAGAGGTGCGGGGAGTTGGTAGCTGGGAATCAGGTGAGGGGCAATCTAGCTAGGACTCTGGCTCAACTTGCTTGTGGGATCTTGGCCAAGTTGTTTAAACTCTCAGAGCCTCAGTCTCCTTATCTGTAAAACCGGGATCTGGGGCGCGAATGAGAGATGGAAATGGCAGGCAGAGTGAGGACACCTCCTCCACAGCCAAACCTTCCAAGGCACTCTGTTTTTGGCTACACACCAGGTCACATATCCTGAATATCTTGTCAGAACTACCGGGCCGACTTAGATGCTTAAGAGGACCCGCAGTCCTTTGCCGAGACGCAGTCCGAGGCGTCTGCGCGCCTGTATCTCGTTCGGTGCTCAGCGTCTTCATCCGAAAGCCGGGAGGGGCGCCGGCGGAATCCCAACCTGCCTGGGCGCCGGAGCAGAGCGAAGGGTGAGCTCTGCGCTCGGGTCACTTAACTTAATGGGGGACCGGCACGCAGCCCCAGCGGCTCCCGCAGCTGCGGAGAGCACAACTCTCGCACCGCAGCGCCCCCTGCGGGCCGCCTGCGCCGCCGAGGGCTGCGCGCTGCCCCGACATTCCCCGCCCGGCGCGTCCTGCACCCCCAGACTTGGCGGCAGCCAGGCCCGGTCAGACGACACTAGCTCCATCCCTTCCGGTCCGCCGCGCTGCTTCAAATAGCTAGAATAAGCGCGTCTTAGCAGCTCGCAGGGCGTAGGAGAACCGGGGAAGAGGGTTCGCCCCGGCGAAATGGGCGCTCCATTCCCAACCTTGGATTCCCAGCCCGCAATTCCCGGACTGGGCGAAGCCGCTAGAAAGAGCGCGCGACAGGCGCGGGAAGCGTCCGTGCCTCTGTGCTCTCTTCTCGTCCCGTGGCCCCTCAGCGGACCCGTGGGGCCCCCGAACACCTTCGGGTCCGCTCTCCCTACTCCGTCCTCTTTCATTTTACTTCCATCTCTCTGCCTCCCTCGCCGTCGTCCCTTTTCTGCTCTCCCTAATCCACTTCTCTCTCTTCAACAGACCCCCCCACTCCCGAAGCTCTCCCTCCCACGCCCCTCCCCCCCATTGTCTGGTCAGTCCTCATTGTCCGATGCCCGGTTCCCTCTGTCTCTCCAACCTCCTCCCCTATTGTTCCATCCCTACGTCTCTGGTTCCCACCCCAGCTCCGCTCGCCCCTCACATCTCTAGTCCCTGTCTCATTCCCCCTCCTTCTCTAGCCTGCGTTCCGTCCCACGACCCTCCAGAAATCAAGATGCTTAGAGAGAAAGTCGCCTCGAGATCCCGGCATTCAAGCGTCCTCTTCCAAGAACCCAAGCTTCCGAGAGCCCCGGGGCCCCCTCCTCAGAGACGCCTCCCAGCTCCTCCACACACACACCTCCGTGGTACCCGAGTACCCGCATCCGTGCGCCCCTCTTGCCCGCATCTCTACCCTGGATCTCAGGGTCGCCTCTGGCCCTGACAACCCTAGACGCTCCTCCGTGGATCCTGGCATCGGAGCTCCTCTCCCGCCATCCATCCCCAGCATCTGGGACCCCAACGCTCTGTTCTGTTTTCCCTCGGGGAAACCTGAACTCATCGGGGTTCCGGTCCGGTCAAAAGGAGCGGGCTCCCCTCCGGCTAGCACTCACCCCCAGGAGCAGCAGAAGCAGCAGCAGGCGCGGCGGGTCCATGGCGCATCCGGCGGCACCTGCCCCCATCGTCCGCCTCCCGCGGCAGCGCCCGGCTTCCAGTTAGTCCGTTCCGCGGACGGACAGAGCTGCGCTGCGCTCCAGCGCCCGCCCCCCGGAGCTGGCCGAAGCTCCGCTCCCTCTGGCTGCGGGCAGGCGGGGCTGGGAGAAGCCAGTGCGGCGGCCCCGCCTCCTCCCCGCCCACCCCCGGAACCGCGCCCGCCCGCCCTGCCGCCTCCGGGAGGATAGTGGAGGGGAAGGGAGGGCGTGCGGGGTGCCGCGCCCGCTCGCTCCGTTGCCGCTTCTCAGCACCCTGGCCCGCGCCCCGGCCCTCAGAGCCTCTCCCCCACCTCTCCCCGGGACCCAGAGGCCGGGCCGCGCCAGGGCGCGTCGGTCCGGGATGCTGTGCGCCCCGGACCAGGGCTGCTCCCGTTGCCCTCCGGCGGGGCCCACCCGCAGGAGTCACCTCTTGCCCTTCTTCCTCTGCCTCAGGCTTCAGCTTCTTCCTTGGTGCCCTGCTCCCTACCCAGCCTTTCTCAGCAAGAATGCCACTGCCCGCCCCGCCCTTCATCTCTGGGTCCATACCGTACCCCTACCTCTACCCCTTCCCAGTGCAAAGGCCTAGAGGGAAGGAAAGAGAGGAGTAGCCAGTGGCCTGACCCTGAGGGTGTGCAGCGGGGACATTCAAGGTGGATTCTGTCCAGACATCATTTGCACTCTCAAAAGATGGGTTTTAGGAGTCACAAGTGTTCACACAAAATATAGGAAAACACACACTCTCAAGCTGACATATATATGTACTTACGCACCATGTATGCCCACAGCACCCTCATATAGACCTGCACATTCCACACATGCGTGTACACCTCCACACTCAAGCACACAAACACACATGTCACATGTCATAACGCTCAAACACATACTCACCTACACACATGCACGTGTACATGTACAGTCACCTCCACACAAAGCTTCACATGTATGGTCTCTTGCACAAGTGCACACACACATTCATGAACACACTCACATACTTACACCCATACACAAACACACAGATGTATCAACAATATACCTTCACTAGACTGTGAGTGTGTCTGTTAGCTAAGGAGCCTCCCGCAGAAAGGCACTGTGCTTTCTTATCTGAATGCCTGGTACACAGTAGGTGTTCAATAAAGTTCTGTAGGAGGGACTACGTGGAAAAGTGGTTAGATGGACTTATATCTATGTGCCCATCCATGTTCAATGTAGGCAACTCACACTCACTAAGCCCTAGAAAAATTGGCAGGTCCAAAGCGTAGGCCCAGCAACCCAGGGAGTGTGCAAGCATGCAAGCAGTCTTTTGGAGGGAGGCATAATCACCCCCCACCTTTGATGCTCACCCTTGCCTGTTCCTACCCTTTTCTGGTTCCCAGACATGAAGACCCTGGAGCACAGAGCTGTGGGGGCATGGCCACAAAGGTTGTCCCGTACTCTGATCTTGGCCATGCGTGGACCTCAGTTTCAACTTTGAAAAAAATAGCACTACCCTCCCACATTATAGGAAGAAGGAGAGATCAGTACACTTGTGAAGAGGGCTAGTAGGTGTTTTTCTAGATCAGCTGATGCTAATTCATTCTTTCATATGGGGAAAATTTGCCCTGTGAATTTCTTTCCTATACAACTAATAAAGTCCAAGGGACAGCCCCAGAAAGGACAGGTAGACATCACTGTGACCTTGAGCATGAATGTGGATGGGCCACCACTTCGGTGGCTGGGCATAAGAGGCCAGGCAGCTAGCCCCTCTTCAGAAATCCCTGAGGATTCTGTCCTGGACAGGGACCACTCCCGCTGCTTTTATGGCCCTGCCTTTCCTCTCAGCTGAATTCATGGAAGACAGGAAGGGGCAACATTAGTACAACAGCAGCATGGAGCTGCTTACTAGCAAGGGTATCCACAGTGTGGCATTAATTTAAATACTCCTGTTGTTAATTTTTCATCCTGGTTACTATTATTGCCAAGGTTATCCACCTTACCACGATTTAATATGACCCACACTACCATGGCTGGGCCTGGGTTATTAATAATTTCCATGGTCTTGATCATTTAAGCTTTACTTGAACAATTACAAACAGCATCGTTACTATTATTAGCAGTATTTCTATGATTAAGCCCACGTACAGGACCACAAAGTAATGCTGAGTGCTGGTGGGGAGAGTGGCTCTGCCACGTGAGTAGAGGAAAGAGCACTGAACTGAGATTCAGACAGACCTGGCTATCAATGCATCCACAGCCCACCCACCCCCACATGGCTTACTCCTGTGTGGTCTTAGGCAGGTTATGTCATCTCTCTCAGCCTCAATTTCCTCATCTATAAAATGGGAATTTTAAAAAAAGATCCTATCTTGAGTGGGCAGGATGAAGAACAAATGAGGTAACTGTTCATCACGAGGAGAGACTCAATCCCCTTTTACTCATTCAACACATATTTATTGAGCACCTGCTATATGCCACACACTGTTCTAGGCACTGGGGTTACAGCAGTAAGCAATAGTAGCTGCCCTCATGGAGCTGGTGTTCTAGTGTGTTAGGTATTTGATGTGAAGGATTATTTTATCATGTGACACATTGGCTTCACCATACCATGGATAGCACAGCTGAGATCAGGATGTTCCTTGGCTGGCACTACCACCATGACCACAATCACCACCACTGTCACCATCACAGCCACCTATACGAAAACCAGCACCGCTGCGACCACCATCACAGTGACACCAGCATCACTACCAAAACCACCACAGCTCCTACTGCCATCACTCCCACTCCCACAGTCTTCTCCATCACTACCACGACAGCCATATACTTGTCACCACCATCCCCATCATCACCATGACTGCTGGGGCCATGGCCACCACCACCACCCGCCCTTTTTCATCTGCACGAACACAAGCAGCAGGGATTCCTGCTCCTGATGCGTGCTGGATACGTGGGTCCAACCCTTTTATTTAGAACAATATTAGAGGCCCTACAGAGCCACTGCCTACCTGACCCTAACTCTCTAATGGTCATGACTCCTGGCCCCAAATATGAGCATCCTTCAAAAATTTCTCCCTGACCCAGCCCCCTTCCCCCTAACCCTCAGCACTTGCAGCCACCGCTGTGGGATGGGACATGGGAGAGGGCTCTTAGGAGCTGACCAGCAAGTGGGATCAGACAGGCAGTACCAAGGGGGCAGCCGTTTCCATGGGAGGCTCCCCCAGGACCATCTCCCATGACAGAGCTGCACATATGAGGGCCCTGCCCCCAACCACACATACACACCAGGGCTTCCTGGACCTAACAGTGACCTTAAAGTGAAAGGGTAGAGAAAAATCATTGCAATTCTCCGTGAAGCTGTGAGTGGGAGTGGTGAGCCAGGCTTTATCTTCAGGAGTTGAAATGGGTTTGCCCCTCCCCTGTTCGTCTCCCGACCCTTCTATCACCAGGAAGGCAAGCTCCTAACACACACCCCCGGTCTTCCCATTCCACTGAGACACCTCTGGCCCTCTGTAGAACATTGCTCACAGCTCCCTATGCCTGTCCTCAGCAGTCCCTGGGGAGGCAGCCTGCAGCCCCAACCCACTTCTGAGCAGAAATGGGAGAGCAGACAACGGGAACTCACATCTCCTGAGACGTCCTATGGGCCGGAGATCCACACAATTATCTCCTTTAACTCCCACTTCTGTGAAGGAGGTGCTGGGATCGCCATTTTACAGATGAGGAGACTGAGGCTGTTAAGCCACTTGTCCAAGGCCCCCCAGAAGGAAGCAGTGGTACCGTAAGTGGCCACTATACTGCACAAGGCCCTCCTCAGCCACACTCTTCAGTAGCCCCTATGTCCCAGCCGCTCCTCCTTTCATCCCAGCCCCTCCAGCCTCACCCCAGTGAGGTGGGGAGCTAGAAGCTGCATGTCAGAGGGGCTGCCCTCCATGCTACCACTCAGATGCCCCTCCTGACACGCATCCATCGCAGAATCTGGGCTTGGAGGCCTAGGGAGGGTGGGCGGAAGCAAGCCAGGGGATGATCTCTGCCTTTTGATAGAAGGTGTGATTTTCAAGCTCTCTTGGTGAGCGCTCGCTTTTCTTGCTTTGGGAGAATCACCTCCCCTACTCCCAGTTCCAGTGTCCAACCAGAGAAGGGGTGAAGGGAGATGGGCAAGGAGACAACAATTTCGGAGGGGAGGAGGGGAGGAGGAGGTGCCAGGCCTCCCCCAGCTGCATCCCATCTGCCCTGGGCAGACAGCCAGGCTAGGTAAGTGAAACCCGCTGCCCCCCATTAGGAGTTGGCTCGGTGGCTTTGAAGCGTGATGCAGTGATTACCTTGGAGCTGACTCCTTCTGGGCTGCAAGGGGGGCTTGACCAATGAGGGGGCAGGGTGGGGCCTGGGGACTGGTTTGGGGTCAGCTCAGTTTGATTCTAGAGCTGCGTTAGTAGTGAGAGGGGTGGGAGGGATTAGTCAATTTTGGAGTCCAGTTAGATTAACTGGTGCATCAAAGTGGGCCAGTTCCACTGTGCCCTCCCCCGCCGTCTGCTCCAGCCTGAGGCCAGTGCTCCCTTCCTGCCTCCACCCTGTCCTGCGAGGGGCCTGTCTAACCCACATTCACCAGCCTTCTCCCCTCCGAGCCCTTCTGTGGGTTATGTCCCCGTGAGAGTTGTCTTCTCTCTTCCTTTGACATAACAGTAGAATTGGTCAAAGCCTTCCATCTTCCCATTTGCAGCCTTTTCTCTTCTTTCAAAGGCCAGCCTCCCTCCCACCGGTGCCCCATTCTACACCCATACTTCTTGTCAAGGAATCATAAGATCTGGTCAGTTTGTTCACATAGGTGGTAGGGACTTAGTTTCCCCAGACTTTGTATCTTGGAGAAGGGGTTCCCAGAGAGGGCAACGCTATACCCACGTGCTCAACTGGAGAGAGAGAGTTCCAGTCTTTGTGGTAAGGGTATAGCATACCCTTACCACAAAGAGATCCAGCATATCCCTAACTTGGGGCAGCCGTCTTCCTTGCTGACTCAAGGGGCAACGCTTCCGGGCTTTTGGATCTAGCCTTTGCCCTCATCTACACACGTTCCCCTCAAGTAGCCTTTCTCTAGGAAATTCCTCCTGACTCAAGTTGATCATTCCCAGACCAGC